TTGATGTGCTTTCTGGAAGTATACATTATTCTCTGCTATTTAAAAGAAGGTACAATAGTACTGGGCCTCTGCAGATCAAGCATTTATTTTAAAAAGCTTCTTCATTTTGTTAAGCTGTCTAGAACATTAGTAAAGCAGTCTTTAAAAAATAAGTCTAAAAATTTGAACATTCTATAGGCATTTATAGCTACTGACTTACCTCCTTGCAGCAAACAGGGAAAATGGGACTTGCAGAGGCTGCAATAGACTATAGCAATCTCTGAAGCCTGAATCAGCTGATGATCCAGAGGTGCTTAAACTGAAAGTGAAACTTGCTGTTTGCTCCACCAGGCAAATTGCTGAGAGGCAAAAGCAGATTTTTTTTTATTGTGCTAATAAGGCTGTTTGCTGCAAGAAGGTAAGTTAATAACTATAAATGCCTATAGAATGTTCAAATTTTTAGACTTATTTTTTAAAGACTGCTTTATTATTGTTCTAGACAGCTTAACAAAATGAAGAAGCTTTTTAAAATAAATGCTTGATCTGAAGAGGGCCAGTGCTATTGTATCTTCTTTTAAATAGCAGAGAATAATGTATACTTCCAGAAAGCACATCAATTTTTACACCATCTGTACAAACATAGTCTAAAATGTAACACTACAAACAATGTATATTGTCTGTACTGTTTGTTGCAAGGAGGCAAATTGCTGGGAGGCAGAGGCAGATTTTTTCTCCTTGTTTCCCAAAAGCTAGGTGTGTCTTATACTCTGAAAAATACGGTACTTATTCAGCAACAATGCAACAGATATTTAGAAAAGAAAGATGCGTGCTAGCAGTGCTCTTACCAAGTCCCAGCAGGTCTATGACTGGCTCCGAGGGTCTGGAAAGGCTTTTTGTAGTTTGAAGATCTTCTTTCTTCTGAGGCTGAAGGAAGCAGAAACCACCAAAATCCTTTGATGCATATTCCATGAAAAAAGAGCAATTTTCTCTCTTTTATATCTTCAGAAAATGTTTCAGGAATGCTCATGGATTTTGAAACTCATTCTCATCCCAATGTTTCAGCTAGCCAACTTAAGGCAGTTGGGCTTTGTCTCTCTAAGAAAAGTATTTCTCAACTTTTGCCAACTTGAAGATAGATGGGCTTCAATTCCCAGAATTGCCCTGCCAGCATATGTTGAACCAGGGAATTCTGGGAATTGAAGTCCACCCGTCTTCAAGCTGCCAAGGTTGAAAAGACGGTCCTAGATTATTCTGTGGATGTTGGCAATTCATGCAGTTGACAATTGTTAGCATTGAGGGGTGTAAAGTTTGTAGCATCTGCACAAACCTGCCCTGAAAGCTCCCTGATATCTGGATAAGAATTAGCCTCCTGATGCTCTCATTCACACAATGAATCGCTCCATCTAGTCTCTCTTCAAAAGTCAGCAGGTGGCAAATATGTGAGGTTCCACTGTGTCATTCACAAAATCAAATCTGCTAGATAAATAGCTACCGAGTGCTGAGTGCTGGTAATAAGATTTACTTGGCTTTCTTCCTACCTGCCAAATGAAATGGACGCAGGAGGGGTGCATCTCATTTCAGATCAGTCTATTGCTCAAGGGTGAATCTCCCACTGAATAATATCTCTAGCTCCCTTCCTCCCCACAAGACGCCAGAAAGAAGCCAGAAATAACCGTAGCCACACTTTACCATTTTGACTTTCTCAAAGATAACTGGCTCCATTTTTTTCCCAGTGGCTGCTTCCTTCTTCCATTTTTCATCCTTTTCTCTCTATGAACAAAAACACTCAAAATGGTGAGAAGGCAAGCCAATTAATTCATCAGAACAATTTTCTTTCTAGGTCAAAGGGAAACCTCCCCTGCTAAACTTCATGGGACTCTCAGTGCAAAAGACTTCCCAACCCAACAGTGTGGTTTGCACAATCTTTTTAATTTGAATTAACACTTTTTTTTTTTTGGGGGGGGGGGTCACATAGTACCTTCAACCAGCATCTCTCAGACATGGTAATTTTAAAATGCATGGATTTTTATCTCCCAGAATTCTGGGAGCCGAAGTCCATGGATCCTAAAAGTTGCTATGGTTGAAAAAGACTCTCCTAAACCCTAAATTAACCAAAAGGGCTGGTTTTTCCACAATATGCTAAATCCTTCCTTCAACAGAGTGATTAAAGTTAAAACCAGGCAAATCTCATGAAAATGCATTGCCAGGACTTTCTTTAACCTGGTAGAACTATCTGTCTGTCTGTCCATCTAAAAAGCTCTTTTTTGACTGCTTCAATCTGTTTCTTCTGTGTACAATAAGTAATTCATATCTCTTTTTTCAACAGCATCCTTCTTAGAAGAAACTGAAGATGATATCAGATTCAAAGAAGAGGAGGACAAAACAGAGTGTCAGAGAGATATGGGTATTTTTTTAAACCTGTTATGGGCTCTGCCCCATTCACTATTTCCTATATCCCTTCCCATAGAACCTTGAAATAATGGGATCATTCACAGAATAAAATTGTTCAACCTGCCAGTCAAAATACTGGATGGAAACAGAAGAGCAAAAGCATGTATGCATTTATAACCAACCAACCAACCCGTAGCATGTTGATGTCGAGACTTCTGTCCAGGTACTTCTTCTTTTCATATTTGTCTCTGATAAAGCTCTCCACTGCTCTGGGAGGAAGCTGGATAAGGATTAATAAATCAAGAGCAGGTAGTTTCGCTACTAAATTAGATGCTGCAATAATTTTGGAGGTAACCATCAGACTGTAGTTACATTAACCAGAACTGGCCAACGGGGTGAGGTGGGGAATTGTTGTTTCCACTGTGATAAATAAAAAATCTGGACTGCCATTAGATTGCGGCACAAGTTATAGAAAACTCTTAAACATCTGCTGCCATCTACCGCTTTTTGTGGATTTGCAGCCCAAATAATGGTAAATCTGCATCCATTAGATTGCGGCACAAGTTATAGAAAACTCTTAAACATCTGCTGCCATCTACCGCTTTTTGTGGATTTGCAGCCCAAATAATGGTAAATCTGCAGTTGTGCTCCAATCCAGAAAATATGGTAGTTTTGCTTCTAATATGCAAAGATTGACAACAAATTATAGGATAGGATAGATTAGGACTGTCAATATCAATCTGTGGCCATGGGCAGATAAATTGTTCCTGTCAGCATAGATGTGCTGATTTTATGAGTTACCTGCCTCCATATAGAGCAGTGCCCAAACTTCACAATATTAAGATGTATGGATTTTATCTCCCAGAAGTCCCAAACTTGGCAACTTTAAGATGTATGGATTTCAGCTCTCAGAATTCTCCAGACAGACAACCTGGCTGGGGAATTCTGAGAGCTGAAGCCTCCCAGAATTCTACGTTGCCAAGTTTGAAAACACTGATCTAGAGCAACCCTTTTGTTCCATGCAAAACTGTTTTAAAAGTTACCTCCAGCAAATCCCAGTGGTATTGACTTAAGTGAGGGGGAAAACCCCCATCCTAGACAAAGGCAACAGCAATTCCCATTCATATTGTTGCCAAAAAAACAATATGCAGCCTCCAGGATTGCGTAGACTAGAGGGAGAACACTGCAGACTGCATCTCCAAGTCGGGGTTAACCTCTGAGGTTTGGTTTTCCAGAAGATCCTCACTAACAGGGAAATTCAAAATTCATCACATCAAAATCCCTCAAAAAGGCTGTAGACTCCAAAAGGGTTCATGCAGAAACTGATATGGAGATATCCCCTTCCCACACTCCCTCCAGTGATGCTAAGTCCTCCATCTTCCCATGGGGACAACAGGCAGAGAAAGGATGCTGGTCTGTCTGGGGTCGTCTGAAGTTCTCTGGCAGGTAACCTTCGTAAAGGCGATTTGCTTTCCCATTTCCCATTTCTTGCATGCACTGGAATACAAAATAGAAAGTCTCTGTGATGTTGTAGAATTAATTAGGCTTTCCTTGCATTTGTTTCATTTGTTTGAATTAACTCCAGGAAGTAAACTTTTTTTATATTTTTGAACTTTAAAAACTAAAGCATCAGGGGGGAAGGGAAATTAATATTATTGTTTGCCAAAATATTTATAGAATGGTGTTTGGCCATCAACTTGCAGGTATCAAGTGGACGATTATGATGACTTTGATGACTTGGTTATGATGACTTGGTGGTTAAATGGATTCTCAGTTTCTATCAGATCAGCAGAAAACTGCATTTGGATCTACTGGAAGGAACAGTTACAGTATATTCCCTCATCAATCATGGTGATTTTATTTGATAAAATGGCAGGTCTAACGTAGCATTCTGAAATGATTGTAGTTAACTCTAAATCAGCTTCTCCGAGCCTTAGAGGAATGGTGAAGAAAGCAAGGGGTCTTTATGAGCCCCATGAATGTGTCTCCTTAGTCATTAGAAAGAAGGCGAAATGAGATCAGAAATGGAGATGCCAAATATCTCAGGATATGTGAGACGGGATAGGGAGGAGAAAATAAAAACTGTTCAAATAATTTACATTAAACCCTGGGGTTACTATTGGATATGAGGCAACCCTATTCTCCAAGGCACCTGAGGGTAGAACAAGAAGCAAT